CGAAGGGCCAGGCGAGGAGGTCGTCGTGGACGCCGCGGGCCACGCCGGCGAACACGTTCACGTACTTGAGGTACGAATCGTCCGCGTTCGCGTCTCCGGCGGGGAACGTGCTCAGGAACATCCTATAGCTGCCCGGCGCGATGTAGAATCGCTCCGAGATCAGTTCTTCCCCGAGCGAGTGATTCTCCATGGCCTCCAACGGAACTCGCCAGTCGTAGACGAAAACGCGTTCCGAGTCGTGGAAGTTCGTGCCCTCCACGAATTGGTTGAAGCGGCTGGACAGGTCCTGGAGATTGGTGCTCAGGTACTGGAGGCAGAGCGAAATGTCCTTTTTGGTCTTGGTCGTTGCGGTGCAAAGGTTCCGCGCATTGGATTTCGCATTTTCTTGTTCCGCATCCGTCGCATTGGCTGAAAGTGGGAAACAGACCTCATGTGAACATGGGAACAAATGGCTTTAATTTTCGATTAAGTGCCCAAAGTTATTTTCTTCGCGATATTTAATCAATGGAGCAATACTTTGAACATTTTCAACTAGTCCTCTTTCACTACGAAGAGACGATGAAGAAAGCCTATTGCAGGGATCCCTCCAAGGTTGTAGAAAGAAGAAAGATGAGTATTTCTTGCAATAGAGAAGTATCCATGATCGCAAAATGCACGCCTGCTAGTGTAATCTAGCCTGTTGCCCGTCGAAGCCGGTCCCCGACGATGTGCCGCCGGAAGGCGGAGGACGCGCGAGCAACCGAAGTCGACCTGCGATTTGAATGCGGTCCTCCGATGCCCGCCGTCGCCCGCTTCTTTCCTCTCCGCTCCGACCGAGCCCTTCGGCGCCCACGCGCTGTCGGAAGAGACTTTCAGGCCTGGATCGTTGAGAGGGAGGGGACGAGCGGGTTCGTGGAAAGGGGATTGGGGATGGTGAGCGCTGCCGATGCGGAACCCGTAAGTCGTCCTTAGTCGTGGTATGAGCGGGTCCCGGCTTTTCCGGCGAAGGTTGCTGCTGCTCGTAGGAGATCGATAATATATCCTTTTTCTCACGGCATCAATTGTTCGAATGCGATCGAAAGTGGAAATGCCTTGGAATTTCTAATGAGTGCGTAGCCGGAAGTGCATGCCTCTCCGACGTGTCCCCTCGGCGAAAGCGGAAATGCATGATAAACATAAATATATCGTTTTATTCATATCCGTATTTCGTTCTTCAATTGAAGGCTTCCACTGCGGGCAACAGTTGCTTTCCCATTAGAATAGGATATTCAACAACGTAAGAAGTCATGTAAAAAATGCCAATGAAATGCTATCAAAAGCATGGAGGAACCCCTGCTTCTCCCGTATGACGATGGTAAAACTCCGAAGGCGTTACGGGCGAGAAATGTAAGCCATGGGGCGGGGGGCGGGGGGGTGGGGCAGGGGGACGGGGGGCGGGGGGGTGGGGATTCCGACGAACTCGCTTCGCGCTTCGGTTTAAATGAGGAAATTAGTTTGGTTTCCTGTGTTAGGGGTTTCCTTTCTAAATGTTTACGTTTGGGTCGAGAACGAATGATCGACAATAGACTTTCAACGTGTTCGAGTCAGGTTCAACATGTCCTATTTCGAATGAGTCTCAAAAATGCATAATAGTATTTATGCTTTCTTCAGTTATTACCATTCCAAGTCACCATCGGTAAATAATTTCATGGAGAGAAACGAAGAGGGAACTCACAGATAGGAGAGTCAAATTCCTCTTCCGTCGGAATTGGAGGGAGTGCACTCGGCTTGCCATGCAGCAAAGTGATTCCGAAGCAAAGAAGGAAGGACAGTAGCTCGATAGACCGACGGATTCCCATCTTGGCTGTCGGCACGGTTTCGTACGGAACGGAAATGCCGCTGTGGTTCGATGAAGGTTCGATGAAGGTTCGATGAAGGTTTGATGAAGGTTCGATGAAGATCGAGAATCCACGCGCAATATGGAATGCTCCCGTTCTCGCTTCTCTCGGTCGTGTGCGCGACGAGGTTTACATTTCGAGAAGGGGTCATGGCGCTTCGACGCGTGGAGTGAAAACAAGTCAGAGGAAAATGACATATCACCCTGCACTCGCCTCCCCTTGGAGCGGGATCTCTCAAAGACGGGGAGGAGATGGGGAGACGACGAACAGGTCATTCACCTCTCCCGCTACCCACCCCTCTCCCCTCCCATGCTTAGACTTCCATTTGCCTTCGCGTGGCCGTGCAATGTCTTCTATTGAAAGGCGTCTCGACCCAGTTATATTCTCTGATGTCCTGAGCTGCCCCCCCCCTCCCTATAAATAATTCTCTTTCAAATATTGGCTGTACCGATTTGAAGAGCATTTTGGAAATCATAGTTCGTGGTTCGTCTGCTTTCCATCGGATGACTGCACTGAGACTGGGAAAGCTAAAACTTTCCAAGATTCCACTTCCAAGGTCCAACGTAACGGGAGCAATGTGGCAGGTAAAGTATGTATGTTTCAATAGAGTATCATTAAGTACGTATGAGTTCCTTCATTCCATTTTAAATGTATCCGATAATTTATACACAGTCGTAATGGCATTCTTGTCGTTGGTGGTCTACGTAAGGCCAGTGGTCTACACCCTATATTTATTGATCTTTGTCCAGTCTTTGCTGGTCTACAAGCAATACCCATAACCCTTTAAGGTAGTGAGACACAATGAGCATGTCAATGTAACCCTCATGGAAACACTCGGCGAATGTCTTTCAATAGGCTAAAAAATATATCTGTGTGTTGGTTAATTGAGCGCCACCAACATTCTTTCAGATGTCGTGGAAGCATGTCTTGGCTGGTGCTGTGCATTTTCCTAAGAATCTTCAATTTCAATACTGACCATAGGGATTCAACTGTCTCCGTATTGGCACCAGTTATAGGATCAACAAAGTTTGTCTGGTGGTTCACAGTTTTGTGTCGATATCCATACTGGTTCAATGT